TCCAATGTTTTTCTTCTGGTTTTAATAATCGAAATTAAGGCAAACGAAGTTTCTAATAAATTCTTCCTGCATCAAATCTGCGACAAAAAGTTTAATTTCTAAATTTCAGCAGTGTACTCAACGACATTCCTGCACTGTGCTGCCAGAAAAAAAAAGAATTAAAAAAATGTAGTAGTTTACTGCGAATAACCCCTGAACTAACTCTAAAATCGTGGAGAGACATTTTCCAGTATTTGGAAATTCATTCTTTGATATTGCAACAAACACTTAAAAAATCTTAATAAATGGTGTTTATATGCAAGTACATATACAACTGCTTACAAAGCACGCTTTATTTATTTATTAAAGTGTAGCAGGAAATGTTTTTGTTCATTTAATGCTCATTAAAATATCATATTTTCATTATTTTAGCTTGTGTAATGCTTCTACAGTCAATTTAAACGCAGGGAAATACGGGCAATAATACACAGAGATTCAGTGACACACATTTTTTTAAAGTATGTGTCATTTATTAGTCTTATAAGGTTCTGGCTACTGTAGATGTGTGAATGTGACAAATATTTCCAGACATATTTCCATACCCTGGAAACCAGAGGGAGAAATAGAAGACAAAGAATAACAAAGTCCGGTATTTATTTATTTTGATCTGTGAAACTAAGAAAAAAAGAGTCAGCCCACACGTCACTCATATTGTCACCACACGATAAGGTTTATAAAACAAGGGAAACTTGCCAAAAGAGGGCAGAATTGCAACTGCTTGGTCAGCAAAATCTAGAAGGTGCACGTGGATGCAGATGGAGAGACAACTGTGGCAACAGGCCGAAGTAGTAATAACTGTTTCTATATTTTCAGGCATGCCTGTTTCAGTCTGGAGCTGCAGTCTCAATCGACTACTACGAAAAAGCTACTGCGGCTACCGAGGCTTTTGCTTTCAATAAAACCACGTTTTACAGCACAGTTTGATACAGATCGCAGATAAATCACATATAAGCTGCAGCGAAATTATAAACAGAGTGTTTGGTGGGTTGAGTGTGGTGCTGCGCTGCTGTCCAACCCCGTCATTTTGGTCATGTCCCTACCCTGCCTGAAACTACTGGGAATCCAGCAGCATTAAAGGGCCTGCTGGGGGCTGGACTGCTTCCCAAATCTCCCCACAGGCCTCAGCCATGCAGCCAGCCAGAACAAAGCCACAAATTATTATCACAGTCAAATTTCAGTCACAATAAAAGAAGAGAAAAAAAATCGGCAGTGAGGCCAGTTTCATATTGTGGGCGACGCTGGCTTCACACATAAGAGTTGTAAATGGAAATGGTCTCTGGGAAATTAGAGGTATTACGTCCATTGGCGTTTTACTGCAACATTATTGTGTTACTGCAGCGTGGAGATTGGAGTTGGAGGGAACTGATGTGACTTTTGGAACAGGTGTTGCTTTCACGGCTTAAAACACCATTGCGCACCGCACAACCCACGGCCTCAGTTTAATTTTTTGAAGGCATGGCCCTGTATACAGGCACAGCTCTGGTCTTAGGCACTTCCTGGATGTGTGTCAGAGCTAAGGGAAGGGAGAAAGCAAGGTGAGGAGGCTCTTTAAGGTTTGTAATTATGCCTGTATTACCGGTAAAGAACAAAGGCGGGCCCTGCAGTCATAGGGCAGGGATGGATCCTCGCCGTTGCTCTATTAATACACGCACAGGGATGATGTTAGAAACAGTCACACTCCTGAATGCAGCCCAGACTTACTGGCGTCTTACTGTGCTGCACAATGCGCATGAGCGTCAAATCTGCAGAGGTGTGTTTGACATAGGTGTACTCGCTCTCTCTCTCTCTCTCTCTCCCTCTCCCTCTCTCTCTCTCTTACACACACGCACGCAAACCGATCGAGTTTGTCCATCTCTAATGCAGAGTGACAGTGTTCTTTGTGTACACACCAGAAAAAACACACACTCCCAGGCAACTGCCGCCACTGTGATCTTCCCCACTGTGGCACGTCTTGTTCTACAAGTAACCCTGTGCTGCTGGAGCTGAGCTGAAGCCCAGATACAGAATGACAGTCCATGACCCCCCGCACACCCCGAGAAGTGGATGCAAGGATTTATTATCACAGGCTCGACTCAGCACATAATAGACCCGAATAAAGACCCACATGTCCAATTTAAGCGGCACAGCCTGATGGCTCTGAAGCTGAGGCGTGCTTTGACACAATTATCCAACTAGGAATGGATCAGAAACAACATCCCAGGATTTTCTTAAATCAATCTGTGAGATTGAGGAATATGTATGTCGCATATGTGCATGCTTTCGTATTTTAAGTGTTAGGATTGAAGAAAGCTTCCTGGTTTGCCGGAAAAAATAAAAAAAATAAAAAATAAGAACGTGTCCGAACGAGGCGGCTGTGTTTCATCTGTGCAGACAATAGGCCTGACATTTTTCTGACTGTTCTTTGCCCCAGGAAAAAAGAAAATAACGAAAGAAGTAGAGAAGAGAGAAGGTTCCAGAGTGGAGCTGAGGATGAACAGCCTTAATCTCACCTCCAGGCGAAGTCATCACACAGAAACACTCATATCTGCACCGGCCGGATCCTCATTCCTTAAGTGCCGTGCCGTTGCTGGCAGCCTGTGAGGGCCCACAGAGTTCAGCTGTGTCACATGATCAGCATCATTCCAGTGCCGTGTACACACAGATCTAATGTGTACTCACTGGTTCCTCTGACTAAAAATAAAACACCTGCTCATTGGATTATTTTTTTCATCACGCAATTTCCTCATGAAATTTGGTTTTGCCATTCGAACCACAGAGAAGACGGACTGCGGTTTCATGTTTCCCCCATTGCTCATTAATTTAAATGTTATTTATAATTTCACAACAGAACAGCTCACCACTCACCACTTCAAGTTCATGATACCTTTTTTTAAATAATCTCCTCATTTTCGAATAATGAAACTTACAACTAAGTTTTTTAAAAAAAAAAAATTCAAATACAAATATGTCTTTCCTCCTTAAATTCAACATGTTTTCGTTCGTAAATATATAATTTTCAATAAGTTTTGTTTAATAAGGTAGTTTTGTGAAAACGTTCGTGTCTGCAGTCTAGGTATTATTATTTGCAATTTAATTAAATTAATTCTATTCTGTTTTCACTTTTTTTTTTTACTAAAAAAAGTTTTGGAGCCAATCAATAAATAAATAATTAAATATACCAGTGTGCTAGCAATCAATAAAATGGAAAGAGAAAAATGCTAATATTACTATTCAGCATCTTCAAATAATTAAAATGCAGAGAGAAAGGATCTTTTTCTTGATGAATTCTTTGCGAAATATTCAGACTAAAATTGCCCAAAGATCCAAAATATACATTATTATAGCAGTTATAGTTCTTATGACCCATTTTTGTGCAATTACAAGTGAATTTTATTTTTTTTTAGATTTTAATCCGACCCATTTATTGAGCTATTTGTAAAAATTCGGCACCAAAATAAAGACGAAACGAGAAAAGGGGACACAGGACATAGAGAAATGGGTAGATAGCCTGAATAGCTCAGAGGAAAAAGACACACGTACAATTAAATCTAAAAGCTAAAGTGACTCGAAGTGAATATTGTTGCGTGGGAAATGCCGGAATGTGCCTGGTTTTCCAATCTTGACTCGAGCATTGAATTCATCATTGGCATAATTGTTGCCAGACAGCAGATGACAGCAGCATCGCCCACTGCCGCTCACGGTTAAACTTAAACTTAAAACTGACTGGTTAAATACAGATGTCTAGGCAACTCTGTACAAAAAGAAAGAAAGAAAAGAAAAAAGAAAAAGATATAAATAAAAATCCTTCAGGAAACCGTTAGCCGCAATATGCAGGATGAACCATTCTAGTGCAGCCTGAGCTTGATGGCACACGGGGGCATCTGATTTAAATGGCTTCATTTGCATTTGGCATATGGGTAAATTATGCATTGCTGATTTTTTTTCTTTCTTCCAGCCTTCTTCTCTGGTTTGGTGGCGGCTCAAAATACCCAGTTGGTATTATTCTGACTGTGGGCGCACACCGTGACCAGTGCACGCACTTATCTCTCCATGAAAATGCCACTGTGTCAGCAGGCACTAACCTGTCCACATGGATACAGTGAGAGCCCAGCTGATGGACAGGCAGTGGGAGTGTATAGAGGTACATCTCCAGGCCTGCTCCACATCTGGAACAAAGAAGCCAGTATGGGTCTACCCTCGGTGTTTACAGCTCTGTTGTTTTTTCACACTCCTCGCAAAATCTTGCCCAAACACACATTCCAGACTCACCAGCTCAACATGGGGGAAAAAATATACTATATTTTTCCACTGTAAATCTTGCCCCCAGTACCAAGGGAGGCGGGCAGAACAACAAAAGCTTGAAGCTGGCATGGATCAGTGGAGGCGACAGGAGGGTGGCAGCGGCTCCAGAGAAAGAGAGAAAATCCTGTGGCTGGGTGGCTGACATGCACATGAGTTTAACTGAGGTCGAAACGGCTGATGGGATGGCATCACAGGCCTTTACAACATTTCTGAAGACACGTGACGCTAGATTCAAGCAGTATTTTTTATTAATATTATTTTTTATCAACAGTGATTTTGACAGAGAACATCTCCAGGCCATAAATCTCCTTCTTAAACAATAAAAAGATTCACAGCACTCATTAAGTCACAACAAAGGCCCACAGGTTTAACAAGCTGCATATGTTTAGACAAGTAAGAAAATAAAATATGCACAGCATCACAATAAAAAAAGCAAAACACTTTTTCTCTCAGTCGAGAGCAGATGAGGTGATGGGAGGTAGAAATGATAAAAACACTGGGCGATGATTTCCCTTGGGGGAATCACAGATGCACACCCGATCAACATACAATGACACAGGGCTCAGGGTTGCCAGGTTTAGACACTAGGTCCTGTTAAAGACCGGTTTACCAGGTCCAAGGATTATCCATCTGAAATTACCTGCCCCTCTGGTAACTTGAACTCCTTTTGTGGTCTGCAGGGCAACTGTGTGCAAGACAAGCATCGGTTTGAAATGCCAGAGGTGACGGGGATGACAAACCGTGGAGGATGGGACGCCTGTCTGAGCAGCAGAATGGATCACATGGGCAGCGGCTCCAGGTTGAGAGACACGGCTGTAACCTCTATCTCCCATCGACGAGGATCTTGTGAGAATTTCTGACAAGGAACATGTAAACTAAGTGTCAAAACAAGTTTCCAGTAAAGCAGAAACACCTACAGCAGATCGCCTATTATGCATGACTATCCTTTAATAAGGGAATTAATATTTGGCCCCATATAGATCTTTCACAGCCGTGAGGTCAAAGCCCTTTCTTTATATCTCTTCACTGGGAACAACTTGACTGGATCAAGTTTAGCTCCTGACAACAAGCCCTGGCTCTGTCAAGTGTTAAGTTCCATTGTGACCTACAACAAGACACAATGCCCCTGCAGCACCCTGCCTCTACTGGGCTGCCTATCAAATGACAACATCTCTCGGAGAAAAGCTTGGCAAATTGATATTAAGAAATGCGTCTTGGAAGTATCATGTGCTCCTTTTTAAATTTAAAAAGAAAATTAAAAAAAAATCAGTAAAGTGTACATATAAAATAGGAACAATGATGTGTACAGTACAGATTCTATCCTGTACCTTTACTGCTTCCATAGGAATTTAGAGGTTAAGGAGCAGGTGGGTGCTGCTAATCAAATGCACTTTATTAACTGATCATCAGCAAGTGTGAGCACCTTTATAAAAGCAGAGGCTTTGACAGTTCTGATCCCTCAAGAGCTACATATCAGACTCTACAGGGCTCAGTTAGCGTGTTAGATGTTAAAGTTTGTGACGGTACGATTACAGAAAGACTTCCTCCAAAATTCCTCCACAGCAATGCGAGGGAGTCATAAAGTCATATGGAAAACAATGGCTTCAAGTTACCAAGTTATTGCTGCTAAAGGTGCTGCTACAAGCTAACGAATCATGGGGGGTACTTATTTTTTGCAAAAGGATGTCGAGTACAAACTTCTATCAATAAGGAAAAAAATGTTGGTCACATGACAAATATATTGTGCCAAGGTGCCACTATGACAGACAGCACTCAGCACAGAGTGAGGCAGTTTAAGCTGGACAATGACAAATTCTCTCTCCTCCTGTTTAGGTTATTATGAAACGACAACTGTGATAAAGCTCAGGAAAAAAATCTATAATTATACAGCACAGCATGTAAGAGTGATATCCTACATAAAGTATATGTAACATAGTATATATACAGAAATATATGAACATATAAATTATCCATACTTTTAATTCTGTTTTCAACTACCAGCTCCTGTGCCTGATTCTGTAGCTGCTAAATCCTTGACATGCACACAGACTACAACAGTGGGAGTGAACCAAAACAATAAACTTTGTTCCTGAAAACCAACAAAGTGAGTTTAAGAAGGTTATAAATCTTAACAGAGCTGAGAGCGACATCTGGAGATAATTCTCCGTAGGGTTGTCACAACAAGCAGGCAGCACCCTTCAGTTCAGTTCAGTAGTCCTGTGATGATCAAGTCTCAATATGAAGATATTGATTAAAGCAGATTTGACACTGATGATTTTCCTTGAGAATAAATTGACGAATGAAGAGGACTCTTTATGCTTTAAACTGTCATAAATAAATGAGCAGACTGTTCAACTAGAAAGCTATCCCAAGATTAAAGTTGCTCCCCTGACCTTGGTTTCATTGTGACATTTTGCTGCCGTACTTCAGGTGTTTAACCTTGTCACATTAAAGCGTTTGTAACTGCAGGGCTAGACGACTGGGGCCAGGATGGGGCATGGTCTCAAAAAAAAAAAAAGGCCTGCGCTCCCAGATCATCAGATTGTCATTGGCCGCCTAAAGCCTGCCAAGAAACATCAAAGCCTTCAAGACTGTCTCGTTTTATCTTTGAACCTCACCAAAACACGCCTTCTCCGCTCCCTCCCTCCCTGCATCCTTAAACCACCGGTTTAATTTGGTAATTAAAAAAAAAAGGGAAAAAATTCTAAAAAGGAGAACACAATCAAATCAAGTAGAAAGATAAACACAGAAATCCACTGAGGGTTTTGTTTGCGTGTAGTTTTTGTGTAGATGCCTGACATGTCATGCCATTCGTCTGTCACGGCAAGGAGACAGTCTCAGTCTGAGCAAGTCCGTCCTCACAGGGAGCAGCCTTCCATCAGCTCCTGGCTAAGAGTGATGGCTGTGAAAGAGCTACCTGAGGCAGAGATCAAAGTCAGACAGGATACATACGCCCCAGCATTTAACTCTTTTCATCCCTCACCGATTCTCTGTGACTCATCGTGACCCTTCACCTGCCTGTCTGTTTGGGCTCTGTGTGACGAGCAGCAGTGGCATTGAAGTGATTATGAAATGTTGCTGTATTGGACAAAAACAAAGGGGAGAGAGCCTAAAGTTTGAAGAATGGAAATCTACTGTCTGATGCAGCTCTGAGAGCCAGGACTGAAAGTAGCCTGGATGTGATTTTTGGCTTTTATTATGTGTTTTTACCGACTCACCACAATAAGCGGGACCTTGGTTTCTCCACTTTCGGCTCACCTCGCAGTGGAGGCCAGTTGCGAGGGCTATTTGCATTCCAGCAGCGAGAGTGAGGACAATTAAGCCATTTCCCCTCCAATCTATCTCCCTCCAGCCAGCTATCCCAGCATCCCCTGGTAGATCAATGGGAAGTGCAGCTGCGAGGCCCATGTGTGCCAGGCTGTGAGACGAGGGAGGAGAAGATTGGGGTTAAAACCCTCCTGGCCCTCAGATTGGCTCCATACCTGAGTCAAAGCACCAGACAAATCCACAGCTGTTGCCGGGCAGAGGAGGGAAGCAAGAGGCTCTCACCCCATCTGTAAAAGCATTACACGCTTTCTGGCTTCGGTCCACTGTTTATTTTCTTAATGATATGAGTTCAAGCATCTGCATTTTGTATTTAGCATCTTGCAATTGAAAGGAGAGAGCTAATGTAGACACAGGTTAATTTCACCACCTGTTACACATAAAGGAAGCAGCCTCTGCTTCTATCACAGTACATCTTTGTGCCCCCCCCCTCCCCCCCTCCCTCTGGGCACTCAGACTGGCCACTCCAAAATCAATTAGCCAAATCACATATCACAAAAGTAGCTGAGCTCTGCTTTCAGTGGCCAGGCCCCTCAGGTGTCACGGAGTCAGCTTAAAGGGGCAGGCGACAAATCTTGGTTTAAATTGTGTGGGATTAGACCAAACAAAGAGCCATAGATATCCAGCCGCACCTGTGCAACTTGCTCCTCAAGGACCGTTAACAGGGAGACGATTTGGTCCAAATGGTGGCTTGCTCAGAACTTAATCTCCCAGCTCTCGCGGGCAGTTGCAGGTATCTGTTTCCACTGCTCCCAGCAAAAGAGACTGTCCTGAACGCTGACAAAAAGAATTGCAGAGCCACCGTGCAACAGGGACTTCCATCAGCGCGGCCCCCGCCGAGTCCAGGTGATCAATCATTTACATGTGTAATTAGGAATGGGTGTCAAAACAGAAACTGTACACTCACCCGGGGACCCTGTGTGCAGAAGGCTGACATCAGACTTGGCAAGTTAGTGGGTAAACAGGGGCAGAGAAGAAGAAAAATGAGATGCCGCAGGTTTTTCTGACACTTTCAACTTCTTAGCACCCAAGGGGAAATCTCCTCTTTACCATATCAAGTTATGTAAGACCATGTAATTAAATAATACTGTGTTTAACTTTAGTAGTACTGTAAGCGTATCCCTATATTTCTGAATTCAACTTGGCATACTTTTCCACATTTAGTTTTAAAGCTTTGATGTTTTATGATTCGCTTATATTATGTTTAGCTCACCTTGTTGGACAGGTGACCATATGCCACAAGGCTCAATACAGTAGACTGGGCCAGTGTCCTTTTCCTGCATGTTTTGCCCCACTCTGTCTCCCTGTCTGAAAAATCTTCACTGTCCAATCAAATAAAGGCAAAAAACACCCCCCAAAATCCTGGGGAATAGGAATTTTTTGCAGATCAGAGAGAAACACAAACGTAACTGTCACCCTAATGAACAAGTCAAACTACTTCTGTTTCCCTCAAGTGGCTAAATGAGCTTCTAAGTGCCCAAGCAGCCATCCATTTGAGCCCACAACAAGGGATTACACAGCAACAACAAACCTGTCTCAGTGAAAGCTGATACTTTCAAGACATATGATAAAACAGTAAAGAATGCAAACTTCTTCCTGTACCATAAAGTTTTAATCTTTTGTACAGGTCATCTTACACTCTCTTTTTTTTTCATATATCCTGTCCTGAGATCAAAAGTGAAGCATAGTTCAAATCTTATGTAATCGCGTTCCAGAAATATAAAACTCGCTTAACTGAAACAATCTGACAGGAATTCGCATAAAAATGATGGTGACATTTTCCCACGCTAAGTGGGCGTGTTTGTAGCTGGACCAAAAAATGCTGAAATACCAATGCCCAATAATCCACCCATCACCTGAGGGGGATAGGTGTGGTGCTGCAAGGCTGAGGAGGAGATATGTGCAGGCTGCCGTGACTTACGTGGACTCGCCCAGCCACCACCTCACTACCTGGGGGGGTTTCAGGAGCCTATCTGGGGGCCTAAGTTTAAGGTTTCCCAGTGCAGAGTGGTTCAGCTTTGAAGAGGCAGGTTCAGTAATGAATTAGAGTATTGTCTACGTGGAGGGAGAAGCCTCTGGGTGGGACATCAGATCAAAGGAGGTCTTACTTTATTACTGACTGTGTGAGTTCAGGTATGCAACTGGACAGCACAGAGGGCAGACATGCTGACCCTTAAAAAGCAACGCAAGCACCCTGACGTAAATGTTTAGGATAAAAGATTGTTATTGTAGCCCAAGTGAAATGCAGAGATTAAAGTAGGAATACTATAATAACAGTATAATGGCACCAAGTGACCATTATTATATTTTAAAGCTTACATTTTATGCAGGACTGTAAGTCGACATCTAGTGAAGAAGGTAAGTGTTTTTTCCCTTTTAAAGATTTCACTGGTTAAATCGTTTTCACCAGTTTTGTTCTCATGGTTTGTTGTGTGCTGCAAGGTCTGTAGCTGAGACTGTGAAACAGGTTCTTTCTCTCAGGCATGTGATGACTTCTTGTCTTAGCATCGTAGGGCCACTCAGCCTTTACAGTGGAATGCTATGACCTCTCCTCTCAGGTGACTCCACATTGTCCTGGGGCTTGATCAGCCTCTCGCCGGGTCATTCTCCCATGACACTCTCCTTAGTGTGGAGAGGGAACAACACACCTTTGCTTTGAAGTCAAAAGTGGTCAGGTTTAGGGGATAGGGCAATGATGCGAGAGACAAAAGCACCTGGAAGTAGTGTAACTAAACAGGAATGCAGCTTAGATATTACATGAGCGGGTGCCATCAATAAATCTAAACTATTTTTAAAAAGTAGTACACTAAAAGAAATTAGACTGTTTAAATCAATGTTAATGTTAATGTTACACAAAAATTATTAACAGTCAAAAGGCATAAATGAGCTTATTACTAAATAGGCAAAAGCTCTTGATTGGTTAAAAACGTCAGCGCGATGGTCACTTGTATGTGTCTCTAATGAGAGAGCCTACAGTGATCAACAAGTGCATAATTTCCAGCAAAGGTAAAGCATATTTTATATTTCATATTATGCCATCTCTGAAGCAGCAGTACATGTAAGGGTCTTTATAAGATGATGGAGCACTCTTAGAAGAAATGTATTAACAATAACCTAAAAATAAATGCACTGTCGCACTTGTAGCACATTTTAACACACATTTAACAGAATTTATGTGTAATTATGTGTCAATCCTACTTTTAATTAAATCAAATTGTGTATTAATTGCTGTATAATAAGAATATAAGCAGAATAAAAACTGAATCAGTCCTTGCCATTTTTATTTGGGGCAACATGTGTACTACATTTAGAAAGAGATTGACCCTAATTTAGTTAATCTTTTACTTCTCAAGTGGACATGGAACAACCAATTAGGGACCTTGTAGGCCTACTATAAGCACACAAATCATTTTCATAATTTAAGGTTCTAGAAAAAGTTACTAAAAAACCACATAAATAATTTTATTATATCAGTTTCATTGCAACAATGTGAGCTTTGATTATTAAAGTACTGGAATGATCATCATGCATTGTTGTATGATGGAACTGTGTTTCACTAAAATGATCCCACACCCTTAAAACAAAAAAACAAAGAACAAAAAAATTGACAAACACGTGATTGCTGTTGTGGACTTTGCTTTATTTTTCTTATTCAGCTAACAGTATTCCTGTGGGACTAACAATAAAATTCTAGCTCCAATAGCCTCAGCAAACACAGAAATTCTCACAGAGTCTTTAAAAATTAACATATAAATTTGCCTTTACAACTTTCAGCTGCTCCCTTAACTTCTTCAGAAGATTGCCATCCATATGTGGTTTAACCCAAATTTTTATCCCAGATGCAACGCTCCATTTATCCGAGATTGGGACCAGCGATTGGGACCAGCAATTGGGACCAGCGATTGGGACAAGCGATTGGGACCAGCGATTGGGACCAGCGATTGGGACAAGCGATTGGGACCAGCGATTGGGACCAGCGATTGGGACCAGCGATTGGGACCAGCGTGGTCCCAATCTCTTATGTTGTCGTACAGTTGCAAAGTTGCCTTTTGCTTGTGTGCCAAACATGTTATCCCCTACACTATGGAAACACATAACGTTGTAGCTAACTTTCAGCTGTGTCCCCTCCATTTTCATGAGTGTGAACTGCAAGCTAGTGTGTTTTCAGTGCCCCTCCAAAGCCCATATAAATGAGAGCCTCAATCAAGAAGAGTGTCTGGTATTAAAAATCTTTGCCAAACCAAATATTTCATTGTTAACTGCACAGGGCTTACTGTAACTCAAGTCAATAAAAACAGTAAAAAGTTCAGAAGCTCAAAAATCTATTGAATTATGTTGCCTTGATATTTTTGGTTTTCTGTCCATCCATCCATCCAGTTTATCCATCCTTGTTGTTTTGCCTTTGTTTTATATGTTGCTCACTTATGTCAATCTCCATTGGTTGACAGAAGTCAAACCCAACAGCTAAATGAGACTACAGTCCTAAATTGGCTGAGGCATGAGTATACTAATAAGAGTTTAATAAATGTCATCCATTAACTGCAAAAATACACGTACTGAGGATGAGCCCCGATGACGAGTGCTGACACTGTGCCTGATGTTTATCTGTGTAAGTTATAGTTAATGGTTGTGAATATGAGAAAAAAAAACAAAACAAAAAACAAGTTCGTCTGCGTCGAATCTTGAGCTGAATTGGATCAGATCATTACAGCTCTAGTCAAGCATCCATCATCACCCACAAAAGAAGAACATAGTCTTTCCATGTGGTGGATTGCTTTCCTGTGGGAACAGTTGCTCTCTGGTTGCCCATTTCTCCCTTCTGTTTCCCACCAGCTGGGACTGCTGCTCAGCCACCCAGCCATAATGTCATAATTGTCCTGTTTCTCTGCTCCTCTTCAGCAAGCCTGAAACAATGGACGACAGCTTAGGCTCAGGGCCCGTGGCATACTGGGTGGGTCTCCGATTATTCCCCACACCTGCTGCTCTCACCTGGGCACTGTGAAGATCTCATTCAAGGAGTAGAAAAGCAGCCTGGTGCTTCAAGTGAAAGTTGTAATAATCCCTAACTGGACAAATATCTGACTAAAGGAATATGTCAACTCTTTTCAGTTTGGGCTAATGCATGAATGACATCTTAGTCACCAGACAGGGAATTTACTGTAAAACAACTCCAAAGCAGCTAAAAATGAAATCATCCTTCAGTGGAGTTCCCCAGGTCTCAATTAGGCCTGATGACTAACCTAGAGGGAGCTTGTGTTTAAGTCAGCGGAGGAAATTATTGCTGGGGAGGTGTGTTAATTGATTTTTGGCCACAGAACCACAAAACAATTACTGATCACTTATTTATGTTTTGCCAGCCACGACAAACAAGGGGTTTCAATAAAGCAGCAGGAAGGGGCACACTAAAGCTGTACACAGGGGATCAAAGTCACACTGGAAAACTATAATTGCAAGAATATTTCATTCAAAGCTATGATTAGATTTCTTTTTTGACATTAATTTTATATATTTGGCCCGGTGGCGCCAGTGTCCGGCAGCCTCGCCTCTGTCAGTGCGCCCCAGGGTGG